CCAAGAAAGTAAAATCTGTCACTGCCTCCATATCTTCCCCTATTTGCCAGGAGGTGATGGGACCAGTGGCCATGATCTGTTTTTGACCTGTTTTTACCTTCCAGTATATTATAATGAGACAAAGCACACCATGTTTGTCCCAAAAACATGGGAGAGACTTGTTTCCAAAAACTGGTATCTCCCATGCTTTTTGGGAGGTGTAAACCAAGGGTAGCTAGTAACTCTGACTTATGGGGAAGGCTGAGAATCTGCTCCAGATTTTAGTTTATACCAGGCATGTGGCTGATCTTCAAATGAATGTGTAAAAGCAGGTTGAATGAGGACTATTTGTGTGATTCTGAGATGACTACAGGGCAGAACAAGACAACTTTGGACCAGTGCTTTACAACCTTAGGTCCCCAGATGTTCTTGGACGATAACTCCCAGAAATCCTGGCCAGCACAGCTAGCGGTGAAGGCTTCTGGGAGTTTTAGTCCAAGAATATCTGGGGACCCAAGGTTGGGAACCACTGCTGTCTCACACTCCCCATCAAATCTTTCTGAAAGAGGAGACATCCTTCCTTTGTATATAAGAGGTGAGGGAGCCGCTGTGGATTCCTGCATCCTTGCTTTACTTAAATAGAAGTAAGATTCTTGTTGGCTTTCCTATCTTCATTCACTTCCTGTAATAAATTTCAGATTTCTTATTTTCTTTGTCTGGTCTTGATTACTTTCCAAAAGTGAAAAATGATCCCTCAGCTCTTCTGAGGCCAGTATCCTGTTCAGTATGGACAGAGGGTTAGCGTCTATTTGTGAACCTGCCTTTTTTTTCTGTAGACCTTAAACTTATGCAGGGAGATACTGTGGATAAGTCAGGCTTAAGATGGTCAGAGGAGGCCCTCCTCTTACTCCCATTGTGATCACAGGAATGTCTGATGGAGACATGAGAAAGGGCCTTCTCTATGGTGGCTCCCAGGTTATGAAAACTTTGGGAGATTAGGTTTACCACCTCCCTCTTAACCTTCCACCGACAGCTGAAGACCCACTTTTTCAGCCAAGCTTTTAACAATCATGACCGAGTCCCCAAATATCATTTTAGCCATACATTCTCTGATTCTCCCCCGCTCGCTCCCTCTCTCTTTCTGAAACTCTGGATAAACTGTCATGTGTCCCTTTGAAAGCTACAACCTGCCCAAACTCTCCTTATGATAATCCTTCTGCTAATCATATAATGCAAGGGTTCCCAAACTTTTTTTACTCATGACTCACTTCACTTACTGCCTACTGGCTGTGACTCCCCAGTAAAGTAGGACTGCCATATCCATGGGATCTGTACCCGCAGTTTCACTTATCTACTGCCTGAAAAATAAAATAAAATTTTAAAAACCACATGAATACACCTTCCCAAGACATATTACCAGGAGAGGCCACTAGAGGGAACCAGAGGCAATTCAATACAGTATACAGGTGCTGTAATGGAATCTTACTAGTGGCATGACTTTTCCAAGGGAAGCTGCTTCTGGGAAAACTGGAGAAACCACTTTTGGGCAGGGAGCAGGGAAGCCTTCCTTGGAAACAAGAGGGTAGGAAACCCAGTCCTTTGGCAAGACTGGGCCAGGGGTACCTCTCTCCAGTATGCACAGACAGCAGAGAAACTGCTAGTAGGTGTTGCAGGATATTTTGGATCAGGGACAAGGGAGGGGGAAAAGAAACAGGGGGACATTGAGATAATGGAACTGAAGCTTTCAAACTATTCCTTCCAGAAGTAATGAGTCTCATTTTCCCCACTTCCTTTCACCTAAGGCATTTTCCACAACTTGGAGTCTTAATTCCAAAATGCCATGTTCCTCTCTCCATGGTGCTGTCACGTTATCCCTGGCTGTTTTGTCCCTCTCCTTTGTGTCCGGCATGGGTAAGTTAACCCTCCATATCGCAATGTGTATTAGTTTAGTTGTATCTGATTTCTAATCATTTTGTGTGCTCCTTTGCATCTCTATATTGAGAGAAAGCTTAGAAATAATGTCACATCACATCATATCATATTGGATCCTGTCATATAATATTGCATTATATAATACTATAATATGTCAGTTTTGACTTAACAGCACAACACACACACACACACACACACACACACACACACACACCTTTGGTTACTAGCAAAAGAAAATCAGTTGGTAGGACAGAACATACAATATGACCCCATTATCTATGGGATCAGTATCCACTAATCCATTCATCCACAGTCTGGAAATATTAAAAATATTAAAAGGAAAAAAAAATCCAGGAAAAAACTACATTCATGTGTATTATCAGAACTCACCACTAGAAGGAACCAGTAACTGTACTATGAATATTTGTTAGTGAAAGATACATAGCAAGGTTTCTGGTAATAAACATGGTAATGCATGTGAAACTATCTTCTTTGGGTTTTTGTTTTCTTCCTTTTAACATGCTTTATATATAGTGTTTGCTATTATCCACAGTTTACAGTATCCAGAGGGGGCTTGGAATCAATCCCCAGCAGATATGGGATTTCTACTGTATAATCAGCTTGGTGTACCTTTTTTTTAAAAAGCTAAACATGATAAATCAGGTCTCAGTTAGGTTTCAGAATAATATAGGTTTTCTGGGGGGAAAATTAATTGGAAAATTCTCTCTCTCTCCCTCTCTCTTAAAACTTTGATGTGAATAAAATAATTTAAACTTTTACAGAGAACCTATATTGTTCATGCAAGCCGTCTCCCATGAACCTTATCTAATTCTAATTTCAAAGTAGCTCTTCAATCTTCTGTGGGTTGTGCCATGGAAGAATGACACTAAATGTCTCTTTCAGCTGCAAGCATACGAGGAGAAAACAAGAAAGAAGATCGGGTGGCCGTGATGGCTACGGCAGGTAAGCCTTTGTTTCAGAACTGAAATGTGATGAATAACACAAGATCCCTTTCTTTGCATTGAGCAGTTCTAAACTACAAATTACAGGATGACAAAAGAGAGAGATTGGACTTAACAATAGTTGAGGGTACTATAAGAAAGGGATGGAACCATTTGTGTTCCCCCATTCACAGGAATGTGTTTTTTTTTTCCTCACAAAGAACCAGAAGAGCACAAACACGTGCCACAAATCCCAACAAAGATTGGGTTGGGGTACCACCAACAGGGCCCGGGGGAAGTTGGGCACCAACCTGTAGGCTCTCATTGGAGCACAAATCAAGTCAAAAGGCCAGTGTATATGTGCTAATTATAATTAGCAAAATCAAGTCAAAAGGCTAGTGTATATGTACTAATTATAACTAGCGATCATTTGTTGTTGTTATTTAGTTGTTAAGTCATGTCCAACTCTTCATGGCCCCATGGACCAGAGCACACCAGGCCCTCCTGTCTTCCACTGCCTCCCGGAGTTTGTTCAAATTCATGTTGGTCGCTTTGATGGCACTGTCCATCCATCTCATCCTCGGTCGTCCCCTTCTCCTCTTGCCTTCACACTTTCCCAACATCAGGGTCTTTTCCAAGGAGTCTTCTCTTCTCATGAGATGGCCAAAGTAATGGAGCCTCAGCTTCACGACCTGTCCTTCTAGTGAGCACTCAGGGTTGATTTCCTTTAAAATTGATGGGTTTGTTCTCTTTGCAGTCCAGGGGACTCTCAAGAGTCTCCTCCAGCACCACAATTCAAAAACATCAAAAGCGATTATTAGTAATTACTAATTACAAATGTCTTGATCTTTTCTAGAATTGCCTGCAAAATCAATTGATCTGGCTGCAATTAACCTGACAGAGCTGGTTAATGGGATGTTAAATACGGCTCTAAAAGGTAGATGCTTCCCTTTCATATGTTTATTTTTAAATAATATATATTGCACTGGTGTGCAAAAGGGTCTTCTATTTTAGTACATTGAATACATTTTGCCTATTACTTCTGCAGGCACCAGTAATTTTTTCTCTTTGCTGAGCATTACATCATACAGCTCCTACGCCTTCCATAAGGTTTCCATAGTCATCTACAACAGTAAGTAGATTGCTAACAATTCTTTTGAACTCCCCTGCAGTCTACTGAATGCCATCCAAACCAGCGAAGATAGTTGAGAGCCACCTGAGCTGATAGTAGGCCACCTGAAGCTATGCTATTCCCCAAACTGTCAATTTTAGGGGGTTGGGAATTATGTAAAGATTTTGGTTGAATATCAGGAAAAAAACTTGCTAACTGTTAGAGCAGTACGACAGTTACCTCGGGAGTTGGTGGGTGCTCCAACACTGGAGGCATTCAAGACAAACTTAGACAACCACCTGGCTGGTATCCTTCAATTTGTTTTCCTGCATTGAGCAGGGGGTTGGACTTGATGGCCTTAAATGTAGGCCTTTTCCAACTTTTCTGTGATAAAACTAATCTCACCTCTGACTTCAGCCAGCATAAGGGAGTTGTTGTGACTATTTATATTTCTGCTAGCCAAAAGGCACTTCTGCTGGCATTAGAGGATTCCTACCTATTGCAAATCTTTTACAATGCTCACATGCTTCAGGTTGCAATCGCACGGGGAAACAGATTGGGTTTGGGGACCTCTTGTGGTCTGGTGCAAGCTATTTCCTGGTTATCACACAACATATAGGGAATAGCCCTCTAGCCAGATCCTGACCTAGATCAATCGGGTCCAACTTGAAGAATGTCACACTTTTGGGGGCTAGGCTGGAGCAATCCTCTGACAGATGCAAGGATCATTCTCTGCAAAGTGACCCTTTCTAAATGCGATCAGATGCATGCCATTCCTGCCATATGGTCAAATCCCTACAGTACTTAGGATTTTGCTCTGTCTCATGTGGTTCATTGATTCCACTTTCTTTCTCTACAGTATCAAACATGAAGAATGTTGACCCAACCAAGTTCCCTATGAGGCACTGCTATTGCCTAAACAACAGGACAAATGACTTGACAGGTAAATGGTAGAACCTGGTGGGTAAAAATTGTCCGGGCGATTTGCCAAGCAGTTCTGAAAGACGCCCAGTCTTCCAGTCCTTTTCGTTGTTACGTGCCAACAAGCCGTGTCTTTCCTTATAAGGTTTTCAAGGTATGTGATTTTCACAGAATGGTTTACCAAGGCCAACTTCCAGTGGCCGAGCAGGGATTTGAATCCAAGTGTCCAATGTTTTAATCCAATAGTCTGCACACTATGCTCTCTTCAGTGTTTTAACTCAAGTGTGAATTTGGTGTCAAAATTGTGGAGAGGAGAAATGAAATCACTTGATTATTTCATACTGTGCCCTTAAAAGCTGTGATATTGTTGAAAGGCAGCATAGAAGTGGAGCAAACAAACAAACAAATAAATAAATAAATGCTGTGCCCCACACACCCAAGAGGGCACAAGGGGAATATTTTTCCCCAAAGGTTGTGGCCATGCTAGGAGTCCCAGGGGGCCCCTGGAGGGAACATTTGCATCCATGGGGGCTCCCTGCAGTCAATGGGATGTGTGTTGGGTCAGAGTTAAATTGAGATTTGGACAGTACACAGTTACAGTAAATCTCCACTAAGGCAGGAAGCTTCTGGGATGACCTTAGACCAGTCTGTCTGGCTGTCTGAGCTACTTCACAGGGTTGTTAGGAAGACAGAGCAAAGAATGAGAGTTATGAGAAGCTCACTGGAGAAAAGGCAGGTTACCAGTATGATCAGTTTTATGCTTATTATACACATGTAAAGGAGTGTCTGCATACATAAATCCCTGCTCTAATCCGATGATCAGACACAGAGGCCCTGATGGCATTCACAAGATCTGCATTGGTTCAATTCTTTAAACAATATCTAACGGGCCATTCTTAGTAGTATCTCTGTCTTTGGGGATTCCCAAATTTTCAAAAAAAAATGTTTATTATAATACATAGATATGCTGCTTGGCATCCTATCACAAAGATGGTATTGTGAGAAATTGTCTTAGATTCTGGGGAAAAATGCTTTGTTTTCTTTTCCCAGATTTTACAGCTTTGCTTGTTGATATTGTTGGGAACACCACCAACTACCTTACTGAAATTTTCAAGTCAACTTCCATTGTGTCAGGTAAGCATGATTGTAGTTTGTGGTTGGCCGATTTGATGGCCGTTAAATTCTGAGTTTGGAAAAAATGACTTAAAAAGAAAATTACAACTCTTAGAATTCCCCAAGTAACATAGCCAGTGGTGTCCATCATGCCTCTGCAGCCATGGCATGTAAAAAGGGAAACTGGCTGCCCTTTGCAAAGATGGCAGCTTCAGCTTCCCTATGAAGCCTAGGGAGGCTACGGTAGGGAGAGGAAGAGGGTGGGGGTGTAGGCTGTGGGGTGGCTGGCTGTGGTGGGTGGCTGCCTATCAATTTGCCGATTAGCTGATCAGCAGCCGGTAGGCAGAATGTGTTTTTTTTTAACTATGAAGGATGAATAAAATGGGGAAATATTTGTCAAGCCGATTCATCGGGACTTAAAATTTGACAAATATATATTGACAAATATTTAATGAATTGGCTATTTTTGTCAAAAAAAAACAACAATCCATTTTTATATTCATCCCCATCTCTAGTTTGGATGTAGCTTAGCTCAGCCACTGAAACTCACCTCTCTCTTTCAGTGAGCCAGAGTAATGACACAGACTGCATCTATATTTGCGTCATGTCGGGCCGTACAGGTAAGCTAGAGGCTCTCCTTTTCCCTCCCCAAATATGTATATGCCTTGGTTATCTGCAGAACTCTGTATTTTAAAAAATCTCTTTATTTAAAAAAAATTAAGTTACAAAAGAAGGACAATCAGCATACAATAGTAATGATAACTACAATAGGACCTCCGTATCTGCAAAGGATCGGTTCCAAGCCCCCTGCCCACGGATGCTGAAAAACGTGGATTATAGTGAATGCCATTTTAATAGTGAACACAGTACATAGCATGGTCTCTGTCTCCATCTAGTGGCCAGTTTTGTTAATGACATGATTTATTTCTCACACAAAAACTATACATAGCATGATCTCTGGTGCCCACTAGTGGCCACTTCTGGTAACATATGTATATGCTTCCTCATCGAAAGTGATCACATTAGGAGAAAGGTTGACAAGCACCCAAGTACTAATTAACACCAGCATGAAGGCAATGGCATAATCTGCAATGAAACAACCACTGCACATTAACAGGATGCTGGTTGCATTCCTAGACATGTGTAATCGCAAGGCTGAGTGTCTGCTTAGGAATGCAACCAACATCTCATCTAGTTGTTCGAATTATGTACACTACAACTGCTGGGAGACCCCGGGAGTGCTAGTTTTGGGCAAAGGGCCTGGGTTTCTCCACTCCTGTTTCTTTTAGAATTTCCTTCCAATTCAAGAGGGTTATAAAAGAGGGATTAGCTGACTAAATCATAATTTGGGAGACAGGCATCAAATTGCTTGCTTAGACTCTTCTCTTGATGCTTGTCACATGACTGTCATTTAATAAAGGCACTACATTTTTTATCTATCTCACCTGAGTTTCTTTTTCTCCCTAGGCAGAAATCTGTCTGACTTATGGGAAGCCATTGAGAAGTCCCCAGTTATTAATTACACTTTCTCTGGTAATGTGTCAGACCTCCTGGGTGAGTATGAACTGCAGATATTAATGAAGAAGACCACACCTCTATTTAAAAAAAACATGAAAAAGCAGTGTTGAAAATTTAGAAGGCAGTAGATCTCATTAGCACTGCTGAGGCATCCATTTTCTTCAATAAGCTGAACATCTAATTGGTATGATTGTTTCAGATGACAATTAGCTCCCTAATGTTCCTCATAACCTTTCCCAGGCCCAACTTCCTTCTGTAATAAAAAGATCCTAGAAAAATGTTAGTCATAAAACTTCTGCTCGCAGATTCTGCTCCCGTCATTGCCTCCTGTTCAGTGTGGCTGAGATATTAATGGTGAACTGTCCCTTCATTCATCCGTTTCTCTTCACTGTTATTTTTACAATCTCTCTCTTTGTCATTTGGTGATGACCACACCTTTTGCTCTGGTGAACTAATTTGTGTGTGTGTTTTTTAATTCAAAGATTTAGGCTTGATCCTCCCTGGTCTGATGCCATTATGGGAAGATGCTGAGAAGGTCTTAGGACATCCTGCGAAAAACACATGGACATTTAAAAGTGCGCAAGTATCCTCGGTGTTTGAACATCTCAGCATTTTTTCAGAGCCCTCAATCAAGTGAAGATTACTTAATGGATTAATCAGCTCAGTTTAATGAAGTCTGCTCTTAGATTTATTGAGAAAACTAATGTGGAGGGTTTTTTTTTTACACACTAAAATAATAATCAATTATTTTGAAATACTGGTTCTTAGAACCAGCATACCACTATGTTGCTAATGGGGCAGGTCCAGAAATCTGGAAATGTTCTGTTGTATTGGGGTATTTCTAGTTGGGCAAGTTACTTTCCAAGTTCCAGAATTCACCAAACCAACATCGTGTTGTAGTGTAAAACACAACTTTCCCAAACTTTGACCAAGACCGCACTAGCATTAGAGGAAATTTATTATTATTATTATTATTATTATTATTATTATTATTATTACCTTTCTTTTACTACATCCCAGCTACAAAGATGCCTATGTGGGCACCAGAGAAGGAGAAAGGCAAAGGGATTCTCTTGACACTGCATCCTGTATTTCTGAGCACTACAAGTTTGAAAGGTGTTGACGTTCCGGTAGTACAGCTGCCCTTAGAAGTGAAGACCGATGCCTCAAAAGGATATGATGTTTCATCTACTGAAAGACCCTCAGAAAAACCACCTTCTGCTACTGTGGAAAGCTATGGAAGTCCGCCAGAAACAATGCCAATACATAGTGAGTTCTGCAAAGGGATATACAGAAATATATTTTAAGCATGTGAATGTAAGGGAATCAGTCACTGATTGCTCTAAATATTACTTGCTGCTTGCTGTGAGAAACTACTACATCAATGTTATCTGTCTCTCTGTCTCTCTCTCTCTTGGTAAGGGTACTGGTCTAATTTTCTCATGCTTTGAACAGAGGCATTGAACTGAGTTCATCATGAAGAAATTGCCTCATAAATTTGAATGAGTTTCTTCTATGCACAACTTGAATGTAAATGCAATTGATACCAGATCTATCATTCAGCTTCAAGAAGGCTTTTCTGCATTGAGAAGAAAAAGTACAAACAGAAAGCTTTTCACATTTCCAAAAATATAATTTGTTTGTTTTGTTTACTTAGCACAAGAAGTAGGAGGGCGGCTTTAAGAGGGACTGCGAAATGTGGAAACAATCTTTTGAACTCAAAGTGATAGTTCAATTTTTTTAAAAAAGTGGGCATGATGAACTCGCTTCCAATGCGAAGCCCACATGTGTAGAATTGTGTGACCAATGTGGCATCATGAATGGATGGATGGATGGATAGATAGATAGATAGATAGATAGATAGATAGATAGATAGATAGATAGATAGATAGATAGATAGATAGATAGATAGATAGATAGATAGATAGATAGATAGATAGATAGATAGATAGATAGATAGATAGATAGATAGATAGATAGATAGATAGATAGATAGATAGATAGATAGATAGATAGATAGATAGATAGATAGATAGATAGATAGATAGATAGATAGATAGATAGATAGATAGATAGATAGATAGATAGATAGATAGATAGATAGATAGATAGATAGATAGATAGATAGATAGATAGATAGATAGATAGATAGATAGATAGATAGATAGATAGATAGATAGATAGATAGATAGATAGATAGATGGATGGATGGATGGATGGAGAGGAGAGAGGACAAAAAAACACAACCATAGATAGATAGATAGATAGATAGAGGGATGCAGGGATGCAGGGATGCAGGGATGGATGGACGGAGGGATGGATGGACGGAGGGATGGATGGATGTCTTCTCTCCATTATGGTTAAGGGAGAAGAGGACAAAAAAAACAACTTGAAGCAAACAGACAGGAAGAACAAGTGGGAGCTTGCCTCAAGCCAGGGAGAAGGGAGGGAGTCTTTGCTAATTGGATAGCGGAAAAGGAGAGAGTTCCTTTAGGTCCCAGAAACCTCTTTCCCACTTATACCCAGTGCTACAAAGCATGCAAGGTTGTTACTATCCCAACAAATTCTGTCCCTATGCGGAATGGGAAACATTGGAGAAAGGCCTCATCATGTAGCCCACATCATCCAAGCTGCTGTGCCTGTTCGTCTAGGTTGGTGTGTTGTCTCCTTTATAAAGGGGAAGGACCGCCATTTTGCCTCAAACCAGCAGAAGCAACAATGCACTCTTGACTCACTCTTGCACTTGCATAGATGCATCTAAAGAAGGGGGACACAGTCTGTGAAAGCTTGCTAATCTTTAAGATGCCCCAAGACTGTTTTATGCCTCTTTGTGGGCTTTGCTTTTTCTATCCCTCTCTCTCTTTCTTTCCCTTCCCACACCCAAAATGGACAATTCCTTCTGGATAGCCCAGAGATCGACTGGTAGATCCCAGCCTAATTTTGCCTACCCAAATTTGATTTTTCCCCCAGGTCTGCAGTTGCCCACAGAAGCTTGGAGCTTTGGAATGAAAGAACATGAGACCACCTTGCCACAGGTCACGGTGTGGCAAAAGACTGCTGGTTTGGAAAGCTCTGATGTTTCACCTTCCCGTGTCTTTTCATGGCTGCCGACAGATCCATCAAGAGAACTGGACTTGCCTCCCACCAAAAGGACTCCACCCCAAGTCCCTTTGACAAGCTATGACATCCCATCTGGAACCCAGCCACTGCCCGGTGAGCATCGAGAGTGTGGGAAACAGTAAAAAGATGTCTACAGAGATAGGGAAGAGCATGACCTATGTACAGAATGCCAACGTCCTCTATGTACTCAATCCAAGGAATAGTTAGAACTTGAAACTAATAGCATTTTTACTGATGGGTATCTTCCCCATAGTTTTCTATCCCTTGATAATTTAGCTTGGCTATATTTGTATGCTTAGAGGTCACATAGCCTCTGAGCCCTGATTGTCAGAGAGCAGTAATGAGAAAGTGATGTTTGCTTTTGGATTCACTTCATCACAGTTTAGCACAACGTTGACGTCTGAAATAACAATCCAAGTTTAGGATGCACTGTTTGAAGTTAGCCTGAGCTTGACCACAAGAAAGAAGATGTGTTTTCAAATTCTTGCTTCGAGATTTGTGCTTCTTGCCATACTGGAGCAAGAGGGGGTAGCACAGACTGAAGTGCCCAACTAGCTTAATTCTCATTATTATAAGACATTGTTTTAATGTCTTATAAGACATAAGAGTTTTGGAGGTTCCTCAGTGTAAGATCCTAGTTGAATGCAAAGCAATAGCTTTCTATGTGTGTTTCAGCTGAACAGGAAGGAAGGAAGGAAGGAAGGAAGGAAGGAAGGAAGGACCGACCATTAAGACTAACAGATTTATTTTAACATTATAGTTCATGGGTTATAATTTATTCTTCAGGTACATAGACTCATAAATAATGGAACTGGAAGGGGCCTATAAGACCATTGAGTCCACAGAGTATAATATTTAATCAGGTTTACTGGCGTTATCTGTATGAGAGCTGAACAAGTTCCAGATGTTTGGGATGGCACAGAAACACTTGCTTCAGAATTCCCCCACTAAATTTTTCTTTTCTTTTCTTTTCTTCTCTTCATTACTATGAATACACCCTCATGCCCTCTAATGGTTGTGAAAAACAATTTCATTGTATTTTGGTTGCTCCTGAGCCGTTCTAAATCACCTCCAGTCTCAAGATCCGTGTGTGGCTTACTCAGTCTCAAACAGCTGGAGGGGAACGTGGTGAAAGTTCACCTTTGTCAAGGGGGTTTTAGAGCATTGTTTTTTAAAAAAAGCATTAGAGTATATGGGCAATCCTGGGGAAAGCAAGGAGATGGTGTTGTGGAGCAGTCAATCCCTAGCAGCCATATATACAGGCCAAAGGCTGCAGTTTGCCCACCTTTGTTCTATGAGATCAGAGGAGAGCAAGATACAGAACACATCAGTTATGTATTAACCTTGGCCATGAAGTTTTCAAAGGGTTGGTTAGTCTGAATGTGCGGGCAAGCTTAAGTAGTTATCTGATAATACAGTCTGTATGTTGCTGAGAAGTTAAGCATGTTTGAAACAATGGATCCCTTTGTCTTTCTTTACATTTATAGCCCAAGTGGTCCTCACACTGGGATCCCCAGATGTTCTAGGACTGCAGCCTTCGCCACTCACTGTGCTGGCCAGGATTTCTGGTAGTTGCAATCCAAGAACATCTGAGGACCCAAAGTTTGAGAACCATTGTGTTAGACTCCTCTGTTGTTTTGTCTGAGAAAGGATGAGGAAAGACCCAGGCTGGTCAAAGTTTGACCTTGGGTTGCATACAGGCCCCCCAGAGATGTTTTTGCAGCTCTGGGGGCCCATCAAACTCCCCAGCTCCTCCATGTTTAAAAAAATGGATTTTCCCCCCAAGAGGGGGCCAGGATTTCTGGTAGAAAAAAAAAACTAATGATGGACTCAAGCTACAGGAAGCCAGATTTAGACGGAATATCGGGGGGGAAACATCAACTGTTAGAGCAGTAGGACGATGGGAAAAAATGACCTTGGGAGGTGGTAAGCAGTCCAAAGCTGCAGGCATTCAAGGGAAAACTGGACAACTGCTTCGATTTGGATTCCTGCATGGAGCAGGGGGGGTTGGACGTGATGGCCTTATAGGCTCTTTCCAATTCAATGATTCTGTGATTCTATGCACAGGTATCTCTAGAATCTTCCAGAGACAGTATTCACTTTTTCACTTATTCACTGCAGGATTCTCCTCAATATTTCACATCCAATCATATCTATTTTTCAAAAAACAGGTAGTAGTCTTCTAGGAACTTCCATTTTCATTTTCTCATCATCCCCCCTGACTTCCCTTTTTGGTAGGTCATGCAACCTGGCACATTCCTTGGAGAGAGAGAGAGAGAGAGAGAGAGATGGAGAGAGAAAGAGAGAGATTAAAAGCCCTGCTCAAGCCATTAAAAGTTGCCAATCCTTTCTATACCGACACTATTGAGAAAACCAGACTATTAATAGATGTAGAGTGTTTACTGACTTTATTGGAATGTTATATATCATGTAACTGAAGAAATGAATTGTAAAGTAATCCATGAAAGCTTATACTAAAATGAGTGTTAAGTTTAAATTTCCTCTCTCTGTAAGATACAGACATAAAACCTCTAAGGGAAAAATAATCTGCCTAAATGGAAAGTTAATTAACTTTGGAAACAAAATAGCCTTTTTTCATTTCTAGGAAAATGCCACCTATTGGTCTTAATCTGTATTTTTAAAATGTTCAAACATGTATAAACACAAGTTAGCAGTTGAGTGGATCATCTTTTTTTTTAAGAATTAATTTATTAGTTGCTCTCTCGAGGGGTGTTTTCAGGACTGTTTCTTTTGATCCTCATTATTTAAAAGAAGGCAAGCGGTGGGATTAAAAGATAACCTTTCAGACAAAGATGTGACATGATGTTAGTATTTAAAACCAAAGCTTCTGATAAGTTTCAAAAAACCCAAAATTAGTTTTAAAAGTTTTAAAAACCCAAAACTAATAAGTTTTTAAAAACCCAAAATTTCATCTGCACACAAATCATGATTTCCTGTTCAACTTAAATGTAAAATGATTTGTTTATGATCTGCACAACCGGGAAAAAAAATCCATTAAAACACTCACGTTTAAGGAACCCACCTAAAATTTAGTCAATGTGTCTTTCCCAGAAATATAAATTGTGAAGTCCTTAAATTTAGTTCAGATCAGCAGGAATATTTTGAGGAGTGTAGAGATCGTTTTAATATTCAATATTTTTTCAGTAACAGCCATTCCTTTGCCCTTGGCTTCTCCTTCTACGGAACAAGAGCAGGAGGCGTTGAAGACCCATCCTCCTTCCAGTAAGCTGAAACTGTTCTGTGTAATATTTTATATGGTTTTAGTACCTGAATCTTGAAGAACATCAAATACGGCTGGAGACTGACATGTTTCTATTTCCGATCCTGCAGCTGGAACTGTTACATTCTCAACACCCGCTGCTTCTTCTAAAATAACCAAAGCACCTCATCAAATGCAGACAGGTGAGTGAATTCCCTGTTAGTTGTAGGGGAGAAACACAGCACGCCAATGGCCCAAATCCTGTTGCTTAGTGGAGTAAATCACATGACCGTCACCCCATTGAATGAATGGGGAATCTGTTGAGTCATCTTCTCGGTACGTTCCGTTGATTCATATAGGCTTACACTAATTGTCACCTACTTCGGCATACAGTGGTGCCTCACTTAGCGACGTTAATCTGTTCCAGGAAAAATGTCGCTAAGTGATTTAATCGCTAAGCGATTTTAAAAAGCCTATAGGAACGTATTAATACATTCCTATGGGCTTAAAAACAAACCTTATGTGAAATTCCTCCATAGCGGTGGCCATTTTGGGTGCCTCTAGAGCGAGGCAAAATAGCGGCGGCCATTTTGTTTTTGCGGCAGCCATTTTGGAACCGCCGATCAGCTGTTTAAAAATGGGCGCTTTGCAGTGATCGCTTCCGTGCGATCATCGCAAAGCAATTTTTCCCCATAGGAAACATCGCAAACTGATTGCTTTTGCGATTGCAAAAACAGTGTCGGTATGCAGTTTCGTCGCTCAACAGAGCGATCGGTAAGCGAGGCACCACTGTAGTCCCAATTTCAGTAGGCTAATTTAAATCGATGAACAAATGGAGGAGCTGACTCACTAAATCCCCATTGTTTCAATGGGCCTATTTTAGTGTGACTTACTACTCTAAGTTGTTACTTTGTGTAGTAAAATATTGTAAACTTTGTAAATTTTCTTGATGATGGAGGAAGTGCCATGTTGTAACTCTGTCGGATACTGTAGGCTATAAAGTGAGGGAAGGGGGAAGGAGGTATTTTTTTTAAAAAAAATTATCAAATTCTACCTCTGATCATCTTTAGATGATGTGATATATGGCACATAGTCTCTCCTTGCATCTTCACATACAGAGGCTACCAGACTCTAGTGTGCTTTGCCTGTCTACTGTGTTTAAAATCTGCTCTAACAAGACAGGTTATCATGACTGTAAATACCCTTTCAATTTGGAGACGTGGTTTTCTGTCACTTGGGATGAAGGTCCAGTGTCTTAAAGAGATGTAGCATAATGTTAGTGGGCTGTCAAGTCAATTCTGACTTATGGCAACCCTTCCCAGAGAAGGACATTTGAATATTTCCAAGAAGAACATTTTATCTGACATTATATTTAGAATTGTTGGTATGCTTGAAGGTCATAAACATTGTAGCAATACTGCTGGGAATGGATGAAATGAATGATGCTGTTTGTGACCAAATATCGCAACACAGCTGAGTGCAAGTTTTTGTTGATGTGGTAACGGCAAAGATTATAAATAAAAGTTTAGTGGGTAGTATCCTGTTGCCTAAATGTGGAGTAGGCAAGGAATGGTACAAGTATTCCACCCAGCTCCTGCAGACTGCTTGTCATGGGCTTGTTCTTGCATTTAATCATCATCTTCTTCATCATCTTAGAACTGTAGAGCTGGAAAGGACTCTATGGGCCATTGAGTCCAGCTACTGTCAGGGAGCCCCACTGGGGAATCAAACTCCCAACCTGTGGCTCCGTAGCCAGAGACCTAAACTGCAGAACTATCCTGCAGTTTGTTGTAAGACTGGTCTCATGACTGGTCATGCAACAGTTTTTTCTTCTCTGTGCCTTATTTAGGCGACAGGATACCGGCCAGTAATATTATCGGATGTAAATTTTTATTACAGTGACAAAACCACAGAAAAACAATAAGTCCATGATCTTGTGTTCAGAAACCCGAGACAGCTTCCCTGCCCCACTGTTGCTACATATACCAGCCACTGAGAACATTGCTGAACAGTATACTTAGCGGGAGGATTTATCAAGCCCTGTAGATTTTTTACATCTTTTTCTCCCTTTCACTGCCAGGAAAAGTGCCGCTGCCTGCTCTGGTTACACCACCACAAAAGCCTGCCATCTTATTGAAAGGCCCTTCCAGTAAGTACCTGTGTTCTGAACAATGTTTGCTATAAAATGTACCCATTTGATTGGCATGAGAGTGGCAACTACAGAATACAGTGGTGCCCCGCTTAACGCTTACCCCACTTGATGACGAATCCGCTTCACGATGAAATTGTGATGTTTTAATGGACAAAAAAATGCTTTACAAGGATCAGTTCCCTGCTTCGGGAACTGATTCCTCGCATTACAGCGATCAAAACAGCTGATCGTCGGATTTTCAAAATGGCTGCTGGCTGCTCAAAATGGCTCCCCACTGTGTTCAGGAAGGAATTTTTCGCTGCACAGGCATGGAAAATGGCTGCCCTATGGAGAGTCTTCGCTGGACACTGAGGTATTTAGCCCACTGGAACGCATTGAACCGGTTTTCAATACATTTCAATGGGCTTTTTTATTTTGCTTGACGAGGATTTCGCTCTACAGAGATTTTGCTGGAACGGATTATCCTCGTCAAGCGAGGCACCACTGTACAGTTCATTGACACCCCTATGCATCTCTCTGTGTGAGAGAGTGAGTGGGTCGAAAAATATGGCTTTTTAGAGGGAGGCAAGTGCCTTTAGATCCATTTACTATGGACATCCCACATATTGCCATCATCTTAGAACTGTAAAGCTGGAAGGGACTCTATGAATCATCATGTCCAGCTCCTCTTAAGGAGGCACACGGAGGGATTGAACTTCCAACCTTTGGCTCTGCAGCCAGAGAACTAAACCACCCAGTTATCTACAGTTCTTACATTATCACATCATCAAATAAATCCAGAATTGCAAATGTTCCGTGCTTCAGCTTACAACTTCCTGGAAATCCTTTAAAAATTACCAAACCTTTATGTCCTGAAGCTAATAATTCATCAGTGTCAAGAAATTTGCCTTAGGCTGCAAATGTGTCCTGCTTTCAGGTATACTTACGCTTCCGGGCATCTCAACTATAAAAGGTTGTTCTGACAGAGCAGAAACCTAATTTCCATTCTCCACAGAATGTGGCTGGAGAATTTGGGCTTGCTCTAATCCAGTATGCAGGAACTGATCTTCTTTCCCGTCACAAAAGGGAAAAAATTGGTAGTTGTTACTCCAGATCTGAGCATCAGAAAGGCTTCTGTGAAATTATAACTATTTATAAGTAGGTTCATTTATATTTCTGAAAAGCGTTATCTCTGAAGAATGGCCTGGAAACAGTCATCTGGGCTATAGTTGCATCTTATCTTGACTGTTGTGCTGCTCTTTACATCTGGCTGCTTTTGAAGAAGATCCCCTTCAGCTGGCGTTATATGAGCTAGCCAAGTGGTAGCTGCATGGTAACCAGATCATATGGCCATAAAACGGAGAGACTCGCTCTGGTTCTGAGTTGCTTTCCAGACTGAATTCAAGGTATTTTAACCTTTCCAGTCTTTAACGGCGTTTGTCTTCACAAGATTAAAAAACAAAACTGAACTTCTCTGGAGGTTAAGATCTTCTTGAATAATATCACCTGCTAAGTTCATGCCCCTTGGCGTACAGAAGGTGGCTTTCTCTTGTATTGTAGTCTCCTCTGAATTGTGATCATTCACTACATACCCTTTATCTGCCGGTTTTTGTGCAAAATGGGAACATTTGGGGCAGATTTCTCTATTTTGTTGCATGAAACCCAGGGATGGGGACACAAATCATGGGACTTGCTGTTAAAACAGCTGTGAGTTGATTCAGACTCGATTCTGGCATTTTTTTTTCTCCACCGACTCATACTTGGCTCATGTCTCATGAACCACCACCCCCCTCTCTTTTTTTTCTGGAGGGAAAAGCTTGTTTTTAACAGGAACTCAGACTTGGGACTTTGGACCAAAGACTTAGCACTCACCTTCAGGACTTAGGGTTCGGGATTTAAACGCAGACTTGGGACTTGGGACCAAAGACTTAGCACTCACCTTCGGGACTTAGGGTTCGGGATTTAAACACAGTTTTGGGATTCAGACCAGAGGACTTGCCAGTATCCCCAATATAATCATATACTGCATGCGAATGTGCAAGCTACATAATAAAGAAACCTCTGTGTGGGTTTCTTGATTGTTCTTAGCAATAGACTCGGGGAAGTTCAGATCTGTTTGTCCCACTTCTTCAGAGGTCTTCAGCTTGTGTAGTAGAAGACATATGAAGCTCCGTTATGCTTGGGAAAACATGGCCTCATGCAGAAGAACAGTGCCGCCCCCCCTTAACACTCTACTCACTGTTCACAGAGTCAAGATGGCGTATTGAGTGGAGATTTGGACTCTGATTTATGAAACCTGGGTTCATATCTCCACTCAGCCGTAAAACGCACTGGATGACCTTGGCGAGGCATGCTTTTTCCGCCATGCCTAATGCTAGGCTGGCTGAGGGATGGGATGGGACTGGGCCACTGAGTCCAGCCCTGCACCTCTACCCCAGTGGTTCCCAACCTTGGGTCCTTAGATGTTCTTGCACTGGATCTCCCAGAAATCCTGGCCAGAACTGCTAGCGGCAAAGGCTTCTGGGAGTTTTAGTCCAAGAATATCTGAAGAGCCAAGGTTGGAAACGCCTACTCTATTCTACTCATGGTCACTGCTACTCAGTGTAGCAGTTAGTGTTGAACTGGGTTGCTGGAGATCCAGGTGTCGGTCCTCCTTGACTCATCAATTTCACTAAGCGTCTTTAGACCGGTCACTCTCTGAGCATGACCCACCTTGTAGAGTTGTTGTGTTCCTTAAATGGGAAAGGAAAAAGTCATGGGGACCACTTTGAGCATACGGGAATAAAGACAGGCATAAAAGCAAGGAAGGAAACCCTCACGCGTTCAGACAAACATCTGAACAGAGTTTGAACAAGCCACCGGTTAAAATCTTCAAAGTGCTACGCGGAGGACATTAGCTTTCGGAATTTCACCAGCATAAGAAAGCTGTGTTTGCAGCTCGCAGAGGAAAACATGCCTGCGTGTGCGGAAAGGATAGCAACAGGTAATCCATTTCTTTCTCAACTTTTTCCTCATTAGTTTTTGACTTTCTTTCACTCAGACAGGGTCAGTCTTGTTCGCTGTGATTGCTTCATTCTGAACAGGTGCCAAGGGCGGCCTGGGGAGTTTGAGTAGAACAAGGCTATTGAAAGAAGTCACAATTGATTCATGACCATTTTTGGTGTCTGAGAACATCTTTTTTTCCCCTTCAAGATTTTTTGGGGAAAAGATCCATGATCTCCAGGGTGGGTGTAATGACAAGGTGGGACTAGGCCTGCAGCTCTTCGCGTGAGTAAGTTGCAGGTTCTTCCCTTTGCTAAGTGAGAAGTTCCTGAAAAAAATTAAGGAAAATAAATAATAATCCTGTTGGTTAAATACTACTCCCAAGTAGTGATCCAAATCACAAACTGTAACTACACAAAGCCCTGTTTTGCAAGAAGCTAGCATTTCCAGGATTAGAAATAATTGCTTTTTAGACAATGTCTCTTAGAATCCTCTAGTAATGGCCATGTTGGCCAAAGCATTCTGAGAATGGTTGTTCCAAAAGTAAGATTTTCCCCCTCCCCTAACTTTGACTATTGCAAAGTCCCTTACTTTCAATGGCCAGGGGACCAAATACGATTGTTTTGGCAATTGTTCTTGTGCGGATGTCCATTAAAATCAATTAAACCAGTATCTTTTGTCATTGCTTCAGAAATATCTGCCTTCTGTTAAGGCAGTAGGCTTGGTAAGAGACAAAAAGACCCATTGGCCACCATGTTCTGTTTGGCATTCTGTCACGGGTATAAAACAATAACAATCCAATGAATTTTGGGCTATAGCTTAAACTTTAACAGAGCCAAGGAATCAACAGAATTTGCATACATGGTAATTTTCCATTTAGGAGGTGACTCGGTGTGTCTGCTCTCACTGAGATCAGCCATTAGATTTAGGCTTACGAAACCTGTATTAAATAGTTCTTGTGGTTAAAAGTTTTATCCTAATTAGCAGCAGCATAAATCTGGGGAGCTGGCTATCTGTTCATTTTTGTTTTTATTATTTAAAGTATTTTAACCCCACCTTTCTCCTTGAAAGGACATTAAAAACAATATAAAAGCTAACAACAGTGAGTATACTAAAAAAAAAGGATCAAATGAATATAATACAAAAGACATAAGCAACACCAAAACACATTCAAAGCAGTAAGGTACAACAGTCCATTTAAAAACCCCACTCAGGCAGAGAGTCACTCAGGGAAAGCCCACCTGAAGAGAAAGGTCTTTGCTTGTGGAAGGACAGCAAAGATGGGGCCAGCCTAGAACTTCCCATGGGGGAGAGAGTTTCAGAGTTTGGGAGAAGCAACAGAGAAAGATCTCACCTGTGGCTCCATCAAACACACCTGTGAAGGTGGTGGTACTGAAAGGAGGGCCTCCCATGACAATCTTAACCCCCGAGCAGGGTCAAAGAGTGAGGCACAGTATTTGAGATAACTTGGACCCAAGCCATTTAGGGCTTTATCAATTAAAACCAGCACTTTGCATTGTGCCCAGAAACAGATTGACAGCCAGTGGAACCGTTGTAAGAGGCAAACTCCATGTTCCCTTCAAGAGGATTAGTAACTGGATGGTATGCATTTTATTTTGATCTACCTTCTAGCAATATATGCAGAGGACGTGGTGGCGCTGCGGGCTAAACCGCAAAAGCCTCTGGGCTGCAAGGTCAAAAGACCAGCAGTTCAAATCCACGCAATGGAGTGAGCTCCTGTCACTTCTCTCAGCTCTTGTCAACCTAGCAGTTCGAAAGCATGTAAAAATACAAGTAGATAAATAGGTACCACCACAGTGGGACGGTAACAGTGTTCCGTGTCTAGTCACGCTGGCCATGTGACCACGGAAACTTATGGACAAATGCTGGCTCTACGGCTTGGAGACGGGGATGAGCACCGCCCCCTAGAGTTGGACACGACTGGACAGTTGTCAAGGGGAACCTTTACCTTTTACCTGATATATGGTGGTCCTGATACAAATTTTGAGACAACGAACAGTTTAGGGTTGTTGTTGTTTTTTTTTAAATGTTATTATTTCCACATTTCTGTCTCTTCTTTGCTGGAAGAAGCTTGCTCTCTTCTCCGCTTGATTTTTGCAGTAACCTTGTGAGGTAGGTTGGTTTGTCTGCCCGAGGGTAACAGTGAAGATCATTTTGGAGAGGGTTTGGATGATTTTAGGCCTGAGTGACTTTGGAGAGCAGGATTCTACTTCACCTGCTAGCTCTTAAATTCGTTTTGTGTCCATCTCTGCAGAGAGACAGCAGTTTTATTTCCCTGCCATTAGTGAATGCCATTTTATATTAAATCCACAGCCCCCCTCTGACAACTCAGGTATATGTCAACAGTGTTTCATTACTGTAAGTGCAACCTCCCTCACCTCTCCTATCGTATAACATAACCAAAGCCATAAAGAATGCAGCACGCCGGTGGGCAGGCAGGGAAATGGAATCCCGTAACCCTGCCCAGAGAGATATTGAAAGAGCGCTTTTAGAAATGCGCCTTGGAGTCTTGATTTCAAATGCATTGCTCCTGAAGCAGGAAGGCTGGTCTTAGAGAAAAGAAGGCTTTTGACATGACAAGCAAGTGCAGCCGGTTGGACTGTTTTTTTCCTTCGTGTTAATAGTCTTTGCGGGGCTGGCTCAATTCATTTTGCTGCCTGAGGCAAAGACGGCTGTCTCTCATAAAAAGCCAAAGGGGGTGCAGTTAAATCTTCCTGCGACACTAGTGATGGGACAACTGGCTGGATAGCTTGGTGAGTTAAGTATATGGCTGTGGAGCCAGAGGTTGGGAGTTCAATTCCCGACTGTGCCTGCTGCAAGTGGTGCCAGCCTGTGTGGCCATGGGCAAGCTGCACAGTCAACAGCAATTTCTCAGATATGGGATTACTTACTATATTCCTCATTACTTTTGTGTGGATTTTTTTTTTTTTTTTGGATGCCAGCCTTAGGACTGACTAGAAAAAAGGGGGGAAATTGAAAAGTTATGTTCAAAATGTCCCCAAAGCTAGTTAAAACTGATCTCATAGTGTCACTAAAGAATAACCTTTACACCCAAAATAGATCATTATTCCCACCCACGGAGTTACTTTCCAAGTATAGCATCGTTATCACCAGGTTACTTACAGAATGCCTGTGTCATATAGTGGATAGCGTGAAGATCTGGGTTCAAATTCCTGCTTGGCTATGAAAACTCACTAGGGCTTGGTAATGGGACACTACTCCATAAACATCTCGTGTATCTCTTAAATACAGAATGCCTGTGTCATATAGTGGATAGCGTGAAGATCTGGGTTCAAGTTTCTGCTTGGCTATGAAAACTCGCTAGGGCTTGGTAATGGGACACAACTCCATAAACATCTTGTGTATCTTGTAAACCCTGCAAAGTTTGAATCGAAAGAGACTTGACAGCACATAACATAACATAACATTACTTAAAAAATCTGTTTGAATATTAGCGGGATAGTTAAGAATTTAGTTAGCCCTGTTACTATAGTGCTCAAGGAATCGAAAGAGACTTGACAGCACATAACAGGATGTTACTTGTAACGTCTTACTTCAAAGATCTGTTTGAATATTAGCGGTACAGTTAATAATTTAATTAGCCCTGTTACTGTAGTGCTCAAGGGTCCTTTAGGGTTCTGATTAACATCTCAATCACAAGTGGACTGGTCAAAGCAGGCAGCCCTTGAATACACCTCATATTCTTAAGAGCTGGAGCTGGTCATCAATTACCATTAGCTGCCTCCACTTGCACCACATTTTCATTTGTCAACACAATTAGCCATAGAATCAAATTTCTGAATCACATTCTTCTGATATTCTGAATGTCTTGCTTTGTCCAATGGAGAGACAGCCAACCAGCAAACCCCATAACCCGGCTTTGCTTCACACGTGCTGTACTCTTGCCCTTCCCACAAAGAGCATGAACTGGGAGAAGACAGGTGAGTTTTGGACTGGACGGGGCAAACAACACAGGTGCCTCCTCTAGAACAAGGCCAGTGGTTGAAAACGTCGTGTCCAACTTCCTCCAAAAGCAACCATTTTCTTCTTCTTCTTCACAAACTATAGAGTCTCTGAAGAAATCACATGTCTACAGTTGGTACGAGTCAGCCCAAGGACATCCATAATGGTGTTCTCTCACACCCTCACAAACTATAGAGTCTCTGAAGAAATCACATGTCTACAGTTGGTACGAGTCAGCCCAAGGACATCCATAATGGTGTTCTCTCACAGCCTATTTATTTACTATTTGCAAGTTTCTGTTGGAACAAAGGTGAAAGAAACAACACTTTTCCTCTACCAACGATGAAGGATTTCCAGAATATTCCTTTATGGAAGGATTGTCCCCCTCCCAAAGAATCCTTTAGAAGTGTCTTACAAGAGCCTCATTCTAGGCATTCTATGTGTCAAACATATGGGACTATTTGGAGATGATATCTTTTTTTCCCCCCACAGGATGTCCCCAGCCCATCAAGAAAGGGGCGTCCTTCACGACACCATCTGCCACAGTTCAAAAGATAAATCCTTGTGTTATGGAGCTATGCAAATTTTATCAGCAGTGCCTTTGTGCAAGGGACAGAATTTATTCCAGGCAAGAAGCGATGAGGTAAAAGGTAGAGCCAGTCTTCCACTTGTTTTTAATGCAGGAATCTAAATATGGGGGAGGACTGTTAAGAATATTTTTCTGGTACAGTGGACCCTTGACTTACAGATGGCTTGACTTACAGACTTTTTGAGTTACAGACTTCTCTGGCTGCAAAATTTAGGCTTGACTTGCAGCCTGAGAATTGACTTACAGACCAGAAAAAAACGAAAATGGAACAAAAACGGCCTGTTACGGGATTAATCGGTTTTCAATGCCCTGTAGGTCAATGGAGACTTGACTTGCAGACTTTTTGACTTGAGAACCGCCTTCCAATATGGATTAAGTTCTCAAGTCAAGACCCCACTGTACTTATATGAAAAAAGAGAGCAACACTTATTTATTTTATTTAAAATATTTTTACCTGGCCTTCCTCCTTAAAAAGGACCCAAGGCAGCTTACAAAATTGAAAGACAATGTTTTTAGCTTTCAATATGAGTATACAAGGGCGACTTACATCATTAAAAGACCATGTTGAAAGCTAAAACAATACAAATGCTAAAAAGTATCAAACAAATTCCACCCTAAGTAATGATGAACACAAGCAATGCTAAAAACGCAATCAAAGCAGTAAGGCACGACAATCCATTTTAAAAAATCCCACTCAGGCGGCTTGTGGAAGGACAGCAAAGATGGGGCCAGCCTGGCCTCCTGTGGGAGGAAGTTCCAAAGAGCCACAGAGAAGGTCCTCTCCCATGTCCAAATGCACCTGTAAGGGCAATGGGATGGAGACAAAGACCTATCCTCATTATCTTAACAGCTAGGCAGGCTCATAACATGGTATTTTAGACACCTTCAACCCTAGCCACTTAGGGCTTTGTAGGTTAGAAGCAGCACTTTTAATTGTGCCCAAGAACACAAGTAAAGTAAGTAAGTAAGTAAATAAATACATGAAATAAATTTTAAAAAAGAAACTTCAATGATTTTTAATCCTGGTGTAATGTTTTAGGTACTGTATTGAAAACTATTCCTGGTTCTTGAGAAATGCAGCATACGTCTGTGAAAAAGTCAAAAGAACAGCCTATTCCAAGAGTAAGTAGATGTTCTGCATGTTATTTCAGCAAGAATTTTCAAGCCCTGTAAGAGTCTGTGTCTTTGGGCAGGAGGGAGGCAAGGAAAATTGTTTTTTCTTATCATGTTCTCTGTAATTTGTGTAAAATGCCTTTGCAAAAAACTACCATTTCTTCTAGAAACAAAGTGCACATATATACCAGAAGCTCATTATTGTCAATGTTTTTTATAATTTTGACTGTGCCTGGTGTTTTTTTAATAATAATAAGGATGATGATGATGATGATGATGATGATGATGATGATGATGATGATGATGATGATGATGATGATGATGATGATGCAGAGCAAAAGAAATTAGGCCCATGTAAAGATGATGCTCTAAAATTTTGGAAAGAAATGTGAGAAAGCCCAACCAGACATAACAAAAAAATCCTCATCGATTAAATACATTTGTAAATAAACTCAAGGAAAACAAATGGATGATATTGTAATAATAACTGAAATGATTAAGAGGCAAGTAAAGGCTGTGAAAAATTGGAGTGCACCTGATCTATATGAGCTGCACAGATTTTGGTTAAAGCATCTAAGAAGTCTCCATCAATGTATAGCAGTGCAATGTAACCACTTACTTCAAAATTCTACAACTCGATGACAACAGGCCACATATTTCTGATAATATAAGATCATCAAAAGGGCAAGGAACCCAGAAATTATCAACCAATTTACATGACTTCCAACAATGTTCAAGCTCCTCACATGAGGACTTTCAAGATCAATATATAAACACTAACTGAAAACTCCCTATACTCAACTGAACAGAAAGGGAACTTTAAAAATTCAAGGGGCACAAAATGGCAGCTGCTTATTGAAAAAATGATACTGAAGAATGCAAAAAGACAAAAAACAAACCTTAACGTGCCCTGGATAGACTATGAAAAGGTATTTAACTCATGCCACACAGCTGGATTAACACCTGCCTAAAATGTTTGGGATTAGTAAAAAACATTCAGAGGTTCCTCAAGAAAAACATGGAAAAATTGAAAACCATCTTAATGGCCCATGGAGAAGAAACTGGGGAAGTTAACATCAAAAGAGGGGTATTTCAGGGGGATTATTTGTCACCATTGCTGTTTAGCATCTCGTTAATCTCGATAGCAATAATTTTAAATAAAACTGGATTGGGCTACCATATTTCACAACAAGTTGGAAAAATCAATTATCTGTTGTACATGGATGACCTAACACTATATGCAAAAAGTTCCACAGAGGTAGAATCAGTGCTAAACACAGTGTAAATATCTAGTGAAGATATCCAAATGAAATTTGGAATTGACAAATGTGCAGCTCTATACATGGTGACAAGATTCAAAAACTAGATGGAGTAGAGTTAAAAAATTGCAATAATATAAAATCACTCTCAAGTGATGAAAGCTATAAATACCTTAGAATACTACAAGCAGACAACATCATGCAAACAAAAGTTAAAGAACTGACAGAAAGAGAAGATATCAAAAGACTGTGAAAAATCTTAAAATGAAAATTAAATGGGGGAAATACAATCAAAGCCAACACATGGGTCATTCCAGTAATTAGATACCCAACTGGAACAATAGATTGGACTCAAAATGAACTGGAAGAATTGGATTGAAAAACACAGAAACTAATGAACATGCGTCACACACTACATTCAAAAAGCAATGTGGACAGATTGTATTTACCACAAAAAATGGAGTCCATGGATTAATGCAAATACAGGAGGTAATAAAGGAAGAAAAAAGAACCCAAATGATTTTATCAGTACAAACAGAGAAAAATTACTTAAGGCAGGGAAAATGGAAAATATTTTGAAAACAACAGAAACAAAGGATCAATATAAGAAACAACAATTTGAAAATAAATTAAACAGCTGAAAAAATAAACCACTACATGGACAACACCTGAGAAATATTGATGGAGAGCATGATCATAATTCAACATGGGCATGGCTACAGCTGAGGACCCTTAAGAAAGAAACCAAAGGCTTTATTTTTGCTGCACAAGAACAAGCATTCCAAACCATTGTAATGAAAGGTAAGATCCAAGGAGTTAGTGCTGACAGCAAATGTTGACTCTGCCAAGAAAAAGATAAATTTGTGTCGCACTTCATCTGCAAATGTCCAAAGATCTCACAAACAGATTACAAAATGAGACAGGATAGAGTGGCAAAGTTAGTGCACTGGGCATTAATCAAAAAATATAACTTGCCAGCCTCCAAAAACCCATGGGAACATCATCCAGAGAATCATTAATCAAAAAATATAACTTGCCAGCCTCCAAAAACCCATGGGAACATCAGCCAGAGAAGGTGTCAAAAAATGAGGAAGTCAAGATGTTGGATTTCCAGATTCAAATGGATAGACACCTTGAACATAACACACCAGACATAGTAGTAATAGAATGAAAAAATTTCCGGATCATTGACATTGCAATTCCAGGGGATGCCAGAGTTGAAAATAAAGAATTGGAAAAACTAAAAAAGTACAGAGACCTGGGAATAGAAACATCTCGCCTCTGGAAGAAACATACTTCAGTGGTCCCTGTAGTCATTGGGGCTTTGGGAATAATAGCAAGAAATTTCACCCAGTACTATAAGCAGTTGCAGATTTCAGAAATCACACCTTCACTGCTACAAAAAAATGGCATATTAGGAACAGCATACATACTGTGTCTATATGAAACAGATGCTTAGGTTTTTGGTTGAAACTGGTATCTGTTATACAATACCTGTCAATGTTTTTATAATTTTGACTGTGCCTGGAGTTTTTGAATAATAATAATAATATTTTTTTCCACAGCTTTAAAGCAGAAATGCCTTGCAAGCATTTGCAAGTCTATTTAAATCTTCAAGAGGAGTCATGGCTAACAAGAAAGCTTGCACCATTTTGTAGATTTTCTCCCATTGTCCAAAGTGAGAAGTTGCTGATGGTTTGCACTATTTAGAAGAACATGGAAGGAGGGTGGATTTTTTCCCTGTATGGTAGAATATTCTCCTTCTCCTCTGATGATTAAAGTGTGATAATTAATAGGCGAGGACATGTGATGAAATGATTTCAATATTGTTCCTGGGTGTTGTCTTTTACGAAGGATGTTTGTTAGTACAGTTGTGCCTCGCTAGACAATGATAATCAGTTCCACTGAAATCGCTGTTTAGCGAAATCATTGTCTAGCGAAAAGCATTTCCCCATTAGAATGCATTGAAACCTGTTTAATGTGTTCCAATGGGGAAGAATCATCATTATCTAGCGAAGATCGGCCATAGGAAAGCCGCTTTGCAAACAGCCAATCAGCTGTTTAAATCGCTGTCTTGCGAAGCTTAGGTCCGTAAAACACCTGTTTTGCGAGTGCAGAGGGAGCTGTCAAAATCGTTGTCTAGCGAAAATCGGTTTGCGAAGCAGGGACCAAACATTGTCCAGCGAAATTCCCCCATAGAAATCACTGTTTTGGGAATCACTATAGCGATCGCAAACAGTCAATGTCTAGCAAAAAAACTGTCATGCGGGGTAACTGTTTAGCGAGGCACCACTGTATTATTAATGCATTCAAGTTGTGGATTGTTAGATGGGTTTGAAACTATCATATGAGGTTTGAATCTTAAAAGGTAAAAAATAAATGCAAGAATTTATAACACAATAATGTCTTGGAATTTCTTTGTCATGTAAAAGAAGTTTCTCCTCAACCAAAGTTTGGAAACAACTGTCATTGGATCACAACTCCCCATATCCAGGATGGACATGAGTTGCTGAATTGGATGTTACTGAATATTTTGGTTCAAGAAAATAATATTGAATATAGAGTTTATCCTGGGTTATATGTGCTGCTTAGGTAACTGCTTGAACAATGCATAAGAATATTGGTCCATGTGCTTCAGGACTGCCTTTGTCAGGCCAAATGGACTTGATAAAGTGAGTCCCTCCAAATGTCACTGGAATGCAACCCCCACAGCCTTATCCAACATAACAGAAGGTGAAGAATGCCAGGAGTTGAAACCGAACAAGGTCTAGAGTAGAGATGAGCACAGACTTCCAAAATGGCAGCTCATCTTGGTTCATGGAAGTCCATGAACCATGAATTTACGAATTTTTTTCTTGAACAGGCTGGCTAACCAATAATTATAATAATGTAAAAATAATTTCTAAAAATTGTTAGCGAGCCTGTCAGAGACAGAGAGATTGAGATTGAAATTGAGATTTATATCCCCGCCTAACTGGTCTTGTGACCACATGACAACTCAAGCCGAAGACTCCTCTAACAGGACAGCTCTCTTGCAGGGAAGCAATGCCGATTAGATGACCTCCTTTTGTTTTTATTATAAGGATCCCCTGGATCCTTATAATAATGTATTCGCCTTCGCGAATACATTGACCTCCTTTTGTTTTTATTATAAGGATCCCCTGGAGGTCTGGGAGAGTAAACAGCCTAGAAAGCTTTGCCTTGTTGCTTTGTCCTAAATAAAGCCTGCCCATCTTCTTCCCATAATGAATGGACTTTGTTTTTGGCTATAGCAGCTATAGCTCAAGTCAGTGTAAGGAAGTGGCTCATCGTCCCCTGGTTAGGCTTATGCAGGAGTGCAAGATCTGGGCAGAAGAGGTTAAATGACAAACAATTGGCCAGATCACTATAATCAGCCTGGCCAGAAAATATACTTAAAGGACACCCAGTTGCCATGTTAGTTGCTCTGGGATAAAAGGTTCTGGTGTGAACATTGTTACTGTCTCCATTTCTGCTTGAACCCTTCTCCTGCTGATCAGATCCTGATCCTTGCCAGGTCTCTTTGGGCTGATTTCATTATTCGTTTTCACTTCTGCAAACAACTGGGTTCCCGCCAAGCCTACGTATGTTTCCCTCTTAGGTGTGGATGGAGCCATCTTGACTGCACAATGGGAGCTTGGAGAATGAATTACTAGTAATTACTAGTTTAATTACTGTAAGCCGCCCAGAGACCTCTGGGTAGGGTGGGCGGCATATAAATAAATAAATAAATAAATAAATAAATAAATAAATAAATAAATAAATAAATAGTAACTGTCTTAGACCAGCTTGGATCATTAGTCCATCTAGCACAGGGGTATGCATGAAAGATCTCAACTGTATTCAGGTGCCGAACCAACTTTACTTAAAAATAAAATGAAACAGTGATGTTACGATTGTTTTTATTTTAAACGTGTTAACTTTCTCAAATACTAAAGAGGTTTTTTTTTTGCAGTATGTTAAAGATAAGCAACTGATGAACTTTAGACAAAAAGCTATAGATGGTTTTGATGTTCAAAACTGTCTAGGGGCTGGACAGGGGTGGCTCGTGGGCCGTATGTGGCCCTTGGGCCACACTTTGCCCAGGTCTGATCTAGTATAACATGGCCATCTCTTGACTCACCGTGTCTCTCCAGGGTGTTAGTCATGATTCTCTCCTGAGCCTGCCTAGAGGCTGCTGATATTCTTTGGTCCTCTCCCATCTAAGTACTAACCTGACCTAACTCTGCTTGGCTTCTGAAATCAGAGATCGACATGTTCAGGATGGGACATAGAGTCTTCACTGTGGGTGTACAGGACACAGCTCTCCCACTACTCACTGACATTTTAATCCCTTTTTTTTCCAACATCAACTAGGCTTTTCAGAAGTCGGAGATGTCGAAGGCTGCAAAGCAGTCTTGGCTTTCACCTCTCTCTCAACATGGAACATTGCCTCTTATTAAGTTCTTACCGCAAGTGTCACGTGACTTTATCGGAGATGGATAACAGAAGAACAATTGTTGTTTAATTACAACGGAGGCCTGTATTATTTCAGTAGCCAGGAGCACCCTAGAGAATAGGCCTATTTAATATAGCCTCGAGTATATATTAAATGATCTATAATGTTAAACCTCACTGCGGCAAGCACAGTGACCTGCAGGAATTTAATGAAAGGGACGATTGAGATCAGGATGATGAAGAAAATGGTCACGTGGACTGGGGGGGGGCACATTCCAGGGAGTATAAAGCACAAAGTCCTAACCCCCTTAAAGCCAATTTCCGCCTTCCCATCTCCCCTTGAACAATAATCCTCAAGGTAAGTCCTTGTTCCCATGCCTTTTGTTAGAAGGAGACACGGTGGGATAGCAGGTTGATAAAAAGATGAGACAGGGGGAGCCAGTCTGTTATTGTTATACCAGCCGGGCAGCAAGTCCTCTTAATTCTGGCAAATCTCCTTCCAAAGGGGGGGGACCCCATGCATATGATTGCACTAGCCATTCGTTTGAGAAAGCAGTGTTGACGAAGTCTCTAAGTGCGTGAGTGGTGGGATCCCATTCATGCTTCCTCAGAAGTACCATATTTTTCGCACCATAAGACGCACTTTTTCTCACAAAACAGTCTTATGATGTGAAGAAAACAGATTATATTTTCCTGTTTTCTTCTCCTAAAAAATTGGTGCGTCTTATGGAAAGGTGTGTCTTATGGAGCAAAAAATACGGGTAAGTACTCCTGAGTTCATTGGGACTGTTGGCTCAGTCCTATGCATGTTTACTCAGAAATCCTACTAGGTTTAACTAGACTTAGTCCTCTCTTAAGTTTCCCTTGAGTTGCACTCAATGGTTTCTGTTAAGGACTATAGCCCTAGAGACACTGGGCCACCGGTGGTGGAAAGAAACCCCTTTTGCAGGATGCAGCACCTTCCCCTCTACTTGGATCGTGGACCACTGATGTTTCAGGTACAAGGAGATGGCTTTATTGTAGTGATCAGATGTGCTTTTGCATCCCTTTCTTGCCATGAATGCACACGGTACATACATTTTCAGCCTTTGCTATCTCCTGCTTATGAAAGACATTTGCAGTGCATGAATGCACTTGGCATAATCTACACAGATGCATAGGGATGGCCTCAGGTAAACAAGTTCCTACTTTTCCCTGGAGCTTCGTGTAGTGTTGTGCACAAGAGACTCAGTAACCAATCTGAAGGTGCCTAGTTTGGATCCAACTTCTGCTGTAGGCTTAACTAAAAGATTTTGGGGAAGCCACGTTCCCCTAGCCTCAGCTCTGACTTGCAATGTAGAGTTAATAATAATACTTGACTTTAAAGCAAGATAATGAATGCAAAGTGCTTTCAGCATAATGAAAGGGCCGTACAATTCCTAACCATGCAGATGAAAAACACAATGTTCATCCTCATCTAAGCATCAAGCTGAAAGTTAAAGAGAGCAGTTATTAAAAGAGGGGATTTCTTAAGTGTTGAAAGAGGTCTGGTTGTCAAAAAACTGAATTGTTCCTATCTCCTGTACTTTTGTGACTGGTTGTCAAGAGGAAAACATTTGCAGATCTGATTGTTCAGCTATGGAGGTCTGCTAGAATCCTATCTCTGGAAAACAAAGGAATTACCAGCTTCTAAGGATGGGCCATTGGTGTCATGTAGTTTGACCCTCGGACTAAATGTTGTAGGAATATTGTGGGTGAAATGGAACCTGCAGCATTGCTGGAGAAATCTTTGAACCTGCAACATCACACCCACTTTTCTAACAGGAGTTTCCCATTAATACAGAGAAACTTCCTTCTGGGTCACTAGCCAGAATCCTACTGCAATTTTACTCAAAGGTTGGTGAACTCGCACTCAGTTGCAGCTAATTAAGAAGGTGTTGTTCATAGGGCTGGCTGTGCACCCAGTTGCGGTGCCTGGCACATGAGCAGGCATAAAACTGACATCTCGCTAATTGCCTGCAATTTATTGGTCTGACTTGACTAAAATCCCAGTATGATTCTAGCCTCTGTGTTCAAGTTTGCACAGATAGCATCCTGTGGACAGCATGCCTCATTAGTTAATGCAGACCACCACAACTAATACGTCAATTGGTGATCCTTCATTCTAGGAAGGAGTTTGTAAAGCAACAATTCTATTGAAACATTGCCAATATCATCCTGCTTTATGGCAGTCAGATCCATATGTTTATTTTGCATTCTATGAAGTTGTACATCTTTTGTGTATCCATAAACTATTCTTAATGAGTTTCACTGAGGACCCCAAATTCTACGACGAAAAAGGCAGAAACATCGACTTCCCTGCTCACTCTATCATTCACAGTTATAATAACCTCTCCTAAACTGAATATTTTGACACTGCATGGTTATTGTGACATCCAGACTTTTTGCAGCAGCATCTTTGGGAAGTACGTGTTTTCAGGGTACAGAAAAAAAGTATCTGGGATCTGAGGATCCAAAACTCAAATGTCTGAAAAAAAACATTGCCATCTAGGATCATTTCACTCAAAGGCTGAAATGAAAGTTCTTAGGAGTATTGTTCTTTTTTTGTCCTTATGGAATGATAAATGATTTTGGCAAGATCAGTCACCTTGTTGTCCAAAAAAAAAGGATGGCTATATTTCATTATCTGTGCATACTCTTACCATGTTACTTGATTCACCAGGAAAGACAGCTGCGAAATGATGGTGGTAATTCTACTGGTGAATGTATTGATGATGTTGGATAGCAGTGGTAAGTGGAACATCATGGAACTATTTATCCAGCTGTATTGAAAATTGGTCATGGTCAATTTACTCAAAACATATCCATCTTCTTGTAGATTGTACAACAGGGAACCCCTTCTCAATTTATCTTGGCAGCCCCTACCAAATTCACTGGAAATGTCTTGATTCAGTACAATAATATACAAATAGAGCCCCCGTCTTCTTCTTTCCCTACCCTAGGGATGAATAGCACATCATTGCCAGCACCAAACATCATTCTGAACAGAAATCTGAACAGAAACCACACATTTTTCTTCCCAATCAATCCCCAGAAGAGATAACTGGCATTATCATAGGCATATGGGTAATTTGAGGTCTCTTTCCAGTGTTCAATGAGTGCTGAAGAGGCAAAATCCTATTGGGATTTTGCACACACGGCATATCTTTTGGATGTGAATTTCCTCACGTTAAGAAATACTCATAGACATTATCTACTGCATCCTAAGTCACATGAGTCTGTATGTAATAGGCAACATCTAGGGCAGTGGTTCCTAACCTTGGGTAACTCAGGTGTTCTCAGACTGCACTTGCCAGAAACCCTGGCCAGCACAGCTGGTGGCGAAGGCTTCTGGGAACTGCAGTCCAAGAACACCTGGGTTATCCAAGGTTGGGAACCGCTGGTCTAGGGTGGTTTCCTAACTTACATTTACATTTATGGGTGCACCTAACAGGATTTAAGTGAACACTTAGCATGTGAAGTATAAATCAAAGTGATGCAAAAGAGATTCTTTTTCATATTGCTTTCTACCTACCTACCTACCTACCTACCTACCTACCTACCTACCTACCTACCTACCTACCTACCTACCTACCTACCTACCTACCTACCTACCTACCTACCTACCTACCTACCTACCTACCTACCTACCTACCTACCTACCTACCTACCTACCTACCTACCTACCTACCTACCTACCTACCTACCTACCTACCTACCTACCTACCTACCTACCTACCTACCTACCTACCTACCTACCTACCTACCTACCTACCTATTGGTGGATTTACCAGGATCATTCAGGTATATTGTATTTTGTGTTTCACAGAGCTGCCCACATCAAGTGTAAGCTCAGTGTTCTAGGTATTTGGCTGTGGAGCCAGGAGTTGGCAGTTCAATTCCCCACTGTGCCTCCCTGACAGGGGCTAGACTCAATGATTGATAGGGTTCTTTGCAGCTCTGCTGTTTAAAGGTTATTGATATTAATAATTAGCATACAAAGCAGACAATTTTCTTAAGCCATTTCATATAAATATTTAAACCAGTATTTATTTATTTGTTTATTGCATTTATATGCCACCCATCATTGTCTCCCTTTATTGTGTGTGTGTGTGTGTGTGTACACACACACACACACACA